CTCCTCCCCCCCCCCTGCCACACCTCAAGAGGCAGCTTTAAGGGATCCCTATGGAAGTTTTGCAGGTGGCTCTCACTCACTACCCTCACAGTACATGCTACTTAGGTGCTTTTGCACACATAGCTCCAGAGAGGGCAGGGGCTCCTGGGAACATCTCCTGCTTGTCCACTTTGCTTCCTTTGCCAGGAAAGCTCTGGACAGCCTCAAGCAGGCACTAGAGTCAGAGCCCCAGGAGCCGGCAGGGAGGTTTTGAGGCTAGCTCCTACTCACCATCCTGACATTGCATGTTGCCCAGATACCCATGCACACACAGAGCCAAGAGAGGACAAGGGGGCCAGGGAGTGGACCAAGCAGCAGCTCCCTAGCCATTCCAGTACGCCCTCCTGTTCTGGGGTACCCAGGCATTGTGCCTCCAAATCTAGCTGTGCTCTTGTGGCCAAGAAGCATCTCTTTTGCAAAAAAAAAAAAAAAAAAAGCTTTTTCTCATCTATCTCCACTGAAAAGCTTTCAGGTTTTGATAGTGTGTTTTCCAACTAGTGTTCAGCAGCCAATGGGTTAAGTGTGATCTGATCCAACTAGTGTTCAGCAGCCAATGGGTTAACTGTGATCTGATCTGTTGCCCTTTGTAAAAAGAACAGGTGTGGCTTCTTTTGCCACAGAGTGCAACAGACTGTACCACAGATCGTTGTCGGCATAAAGAGGACTGAAAAGGGACTCAGGGTACCTGGAGGACTTCTGGGAACTGCCAAATTGAGGACACATGCACACAGGAAAGCAATAGGACTCAGATTGTAGGTCCCCACTTAATACAGGCTTGGGCCATGCAGCCCCACCCGCATAGTTCTGAGACTCTAGGTGCAAGCTGTAGCTTAACATAATCGATGTGTGGATGCAAGGGGAGTTAGGGCTCAGGCCTGGGCTTAGATTGCTGTAAAGACACATACTTGCTGGTATTTAGAGAAGATTTGGTAATCTTGGTTTCCTGGGTAAACTGTGATGCAGCATCTTTGAATTCATTATAGTAGGTGTTATTGGAGAGTTGTTGATTGCCCTCTTTAACGTAGTCATCTTAGTGGAGGACTACACTGATGCCCTCTCTGTCTGCTGGTTTTATTACTGTTCTTTTCAAAGTAGTCATTTTAAACATGTAAAATTTAAACAATAAATTAGTTTTTTCAATATATTCCTAGATTTTTTTAAATTTTACTTTATTAAAACCTATTGAAATATTATTCTTTCTTCTCTATTAATTTGGAGAGCTTCAGTCTTGGCAGAAGGTCTATTAAATGAAGTGAATAATACCCCAACAGTCTAATTTAAACTGAGTGCAAAGTGATTTACTTAAGCCAAGTTTGTCACTATTACTAGTCTGGCAGTAAAAACGGTTAATCCTAAGAATGTGCTTATTGCATATTAACTATTCCTGTCACAACAAATCAAAAATTTTATATCTAGGAGAAGATTTACCCTTTATCTGGAACAGGCAGTTGCTCTGTTCCAGAATCTATTGCTACAGAATACTTATTGGCAGCCTATAATTGTGAACTGGTTAAGGCCACTTCTGAAACTGTTTCTCAAACTATTGTCCATTTCACAAAATTAACTGCAACTTGCCAATCTCACGTCCATTCTGAAAACTTGTCTCAGTGTATTACTGTGGTTGGAGAAATTATAAAGTAAAAATCATTTAACAAAAAAATGTAGTACACACAAGTTATATTTAAGATTACATCTACCTCAGAAACAAGATGGATTTCCCAGCTTTCATACATATCTGCTCGCTTGAGGAGAGTTAGCACAAGAATAAATGGTGTCGACAGGAGAGCTCATGCAGCAGCAGCACAGTCTAGCCATGCCCAGTACAAGTCTGCCAGAACCCTGTGGGTATGTACTTGGCAGAGCTCAGCCATACCGCCATTGCTGTTGTTCTCCATAGTACTGTGGCTACACTATTATTTATACTCTTGTTAGCTTGCATACCCTTACTGGCTCTTATTGAGCTTCCACAAATATGTGTATGGAAGCTGGGAATCAGACCTGTAGCTCAGAGTGTAGATATAGCCCGTGTGAAGTATTGTTTGAGTTCTAGTACTTCATGCTCTGTCCTTTACCTTAGCTTCCTAACTGCAGTCTTTGTGCTCCTAACTGACATTATCTAGAAATTGACCTCCTAATGCTCTACATAGTTCCTGCTTCACATGTTGATGTCTGTTCTCTCACTGTAATTCAGAGGGTTTGAGTGGAAACATGCTCATGAATGCCCCCCACACACATTACTGCCCAAATTGTATGAATAGGATTTATCTTTATTTACCCCAAATTTTAAATACATTTTAAACAAAAAAACCCACAATTTTAAATAGTGATTGTGCATATCTGGTACAATTTGGAGGGCTGGAGTCTAACTGCTTCCAATGCAGCTACAGTAGGGAGGAAGAAAACCCCCTATTTTATCCTGCTTCGTTTCATTAGGGCTTCTCAGATATTGAAGTTGGGTGCAGGTAGTGATGGATAGAGAGAAAGAGCTTCATACCTGGCATGCCCTTCCACTTCATCCTCAATGGTGGGCAAGGAAGAAGTGCAGAGTGTCACAGCTCCACCTCTTCAACCAGGCTGACCAGGAATATGCAGCAACTGGAGAAGTACTCTAGTCTATTATTCTCTCTGAAAAGGGAAGGAATTACTATTGTGTCATGATTCCTTCCGAAGACATTAAACTACATATTTCCTCACAGTGATGGCTTTAAGCAAAACATCAACCTAGCCCTGATATATTTAAGGTAGTAAAAGAGGTTCCACCATAATTACATTTTCACCTGCTCATAATTTTCTAATGCCTTTGTGGTGAAATTATCCCTGCTTCAAAGTGACAACTTTTGGGAAGTCTAGGCAAGAACCCTTTAGCAGTGTCCCAATTGTAGAGAAAATTCTAACCACATTTACTTTAAAAAGATAGTACAGCAAAGATAGATGTTGAGATGGGCAGAAAAGAAAAACAAGTCTTGAGTTGGTGGAGGTCACTGAAATCAGATGCTTCTGTGCTAAACAGTAAATTTAAAAGAATTAGAAAACATTGCAGTAGGTTATGAAGATGAAGAATGTATGTGTCAGCAGAGGCGTAATTCAGTCCCTGGATGGCTCCGTAACGATCTGTGTTTTAATCTGTTGATTTATGTACACTTTACTTTTGTCTTTGTTAGAAGAGTCTTGAACAATGATCTTATATAACAGAAACAAAACTACCTAAGCAGGCTAGTATAGAAACAGATGGCAAATATGGGATAACAGAGGTATTAAAATTTGTTTTATCAGCTTATTCTCAGTGTTGGCAAAAATATCATTAAAGAATGTATTTCAGGAATGTGGCTTTAGCACACCTCACTGAAGGATTGTGTGAGCCATAGAAACTGAGAGCAAGTGTAAATTAAACTGAAATTATTTGTCTTTGATGGATTATTAAGAAAAGCACACTCAATTTTCCAGACAGTTAGATCAATGTCAGTTAATTATCAGAAGTTTTGAACGATACCTGAGATTCAAGAAAATAATATTTATGGGTGTAAAAAAGTCAGTGATGTCCTATGTGAGAAAAAATAAGACCTTTTTGTATTTCCTTTATCTCACTTTTCTTGGTGAAGGACACGGTGGCAATAAGGAGAGTAAGGAGGGTCCCTTTCAGCCTCACCAGGAATTCCCCAGCATGCCTCAGCCAGTCAGGAGATGTAATCCCTTCCACATCTCCTGGGTTATCTTTGGGGACTTCTCCTAGTAGGACGTGTTTGGTAGATTTCCAAAGAAAGCCTCCAAAGGGGCACCTTTATCAGGTGTCCAAACCACTTCAGCAGGCTTCTCTCTATCTGGACAGTAGTGGCTCTACGCAGGAGGCTGTCTTGAATAATCAAGCACCTTACCCTGTTTCAGAGAGTATGCCCAGTCACCCATCAGAGAAAGCTCATCTCTACTGTTTGTACCTGTGATCTCCATTTGGTCATTGCCCAAAGTTCATGAACACCCATGAGGATGAGAATGTAGATTGTGTTATATACTGAGAGCTTTGTCAGAACTCATCTTGCATGCATCTCCATGAATCAGGTCAGCACTAGCATCTTGGCACTGCCACACCAATGTACTAGTAAGTCTCTTGCTCACCAATACCCATGAACAAAATCCTTAGATACTTGGAGCTCTTCTATTGAGGACACCTGCTTATCCTTCACCTCAAGAGACTAATATTGCTTAGTGGTGATACTGCAAATTGTGTCACCCGGTGTGAGAGTCAACAGCTACTTCTCCTAGCAGCCAGAGCCAAAGGCTATTTTTCCCAGCGAAGAGAGTTGGCAGCCACTTTAACTATAAACTGTAGTACTTCTGGCCTTGAGCCCCCCATTTATTTGCCTTGACAACTACCCTCATCACTGGTGACCACCAGCAGATCCTAGGGTTCTTCTTCGAGTGATGTCCCCATGGGTGCTAGGCTAGTCCCAGCACCACAAACCGGAAAGTTTTCGCCAGCAGTAGCCCCCTCCGGAGGACCGCGCATGCGGAGAGCATCCCACGGCGTTCGCACCTTTTCTGCATTGCGCGGTCCGACTCGCCAGTTCCTCCTAACCGTCCACGGCCGCAGACGGACTTGGAACATGCTCCTCTCCTGAGGAGAAATCATTTCGTTTATTCGTTTGTTCTTTCCCAGTTAGCCCCTTCCTACATAGTGTTAGTCAGTTATTATCTTAGGGTATGTCTACACTACAAAGTTAATTCGAACTAACGGATGTTAGTTCGAATTAACTTTGATAGGCGCTACTCAAGCGCTCCGCTAGTTCGAACTTAATTCGAACTAGCGGAGCGCTTATTTCGAACTAGGTAAACCTCATTCTATGAGGACTAAGCCTAGTTCGAACTTACTAGTTCGAATTAAGGGGTGTGTAGCCCCTTAATTCGAACTAGTGGGAGGCTAGCCCTCCCCAGCTTTCCCTGGTGGCCACTCTGGGCGCCACCAGGGAAACTCGTATGCCCCCCTCCCGGCCCCGGACCCCTTAAAGGGGCACGGGCTGGCTACGGTGCCCGTGCCAGGTGCAAGCTTGCCAG